TGTTGGCTTTATATCTGTTTAGGTCTTAAAATACCTAACAGATCCTCATCCAATAAGTTAGGCAATGGCCGGGCAATGGTAGAAATGTAGCTTCACCAAGGGAAAATCATTTTGGTATGCTTTCATATTTTTAGGAGTCTTAATTACTATTTGAATTTGAGTGAGGTCTTACAGTAAAACTTGCTTCTTTTGAAATTTTTTTGACAATACAGGATGTTCTTGGAAGTGCTCAATTTTAATCAATAGGGAAGATATCTTACATCTTTCATGTGTTCATTAAAGGAAAATTGTTGCAGGTAAGTAGTCAGGCCAAATTTTACAAGTTATAGTTCATTTAAAATGCATATGCTCTTTCAATACTCCTCAGCATCAGCTGCATAGTTCAATGATTTCTGAAACAAAACCTTTAAAAAAGAATTTATTTCAGTGTTTGATATTGAGAAATTTATATGACTACTGGCGCAATTAAGGTCATTAGCCTACTGATGTAGTAGAAGTCTGCCATGCAATGAAGATGTGAGGAGCAAGCCCATGGTGGATAGTTGTAACATTGTCTTGGATGACATGTGCTTAAATGGTAAGTTGGTCAGTCTCAAAGATAATTTGCATTCCTGATAAATTTTTGTCATCAACTTAATACAGAAGTTGACAATCATTTGACTACAGTTTGACAAAACTATTTCAATAGGTTATGCAGTAATCTTAACTCACCTTATGCATCAAGGGAAGGAGAAAGACATACGAGGGTTACTGCAGCAAGAGGCATGTTAAGATGGCTCCCTTTAGGGTTTTCTTAATGTAAAATGATTTTGCTCTAAAGAAAAACGAAGAAAATGGGAAGTAGAACAACTGAATTATTTCATTGAAGATTGAAATATGTACATGTCTGGTATAACAGACAAAAACAAAAAGTAGCAACCATGTGAACAAAACAGTTTTTCCTAAACTTTTGCTACCTTGTCTGAAAGCATTGACCAAGAGCAACTAAGTATAAAGACAAACTAGAATTAAAATGCAACAGAAAACTTGGAATAAACTGAACTAAATCAGTTTCATTAAGTCTAGTTCTCGCCATCTTCATTTCTTCAAAATAGCTGTAAATTATGTGCAAACTTGCTGTCACAACTTTAACACTTAGGAACTTGGATCATGGGGAATCATTGTACTCTGTGCTCTTAAATGAGAGGTGTTATTATTATTATTGTTGTTGTTGTTATTGTTGCAAAGTATTTTAGGTTTTATGTTTTGGAAAAAAAATGAACTTAAGACAATCATTGTACTATTCATTTTAATGGTGGATTTTGGTGCGGTTTTTGTCCTGTGATTTTTCCCTCCACGTCAGAGGGTTTTCCAGGTAAATTCTGTGTTCTTTGCTATCTCTATTTTCTGTGGTGCCTAATATATTTATATGGCCATCACTGTCATTTATACTCAATGTTATTGGTTTGATCGGAATCTGGTAACCTGGGCTTCTAACATAACTATTTTACCATGTATCGTCACATTCTTGCTTGTGAACATTATGTTAATGATTGGGCTTAGTGATTTGTCGAGCTTGAATTATTTAATAAATGAAGTTCAGCTCATTTTCTTAAACAAGCTTGATTTTGAATCTGGGATTTGAACTTGGTTAGAACATAAAGCTCGAGGTGGGAATATAAGATTAGTCTGAGCTGGAGCACGGAGATTTTACATTTTAGCAGAGTAAATGCAGAATCTCCCTCCACCACCTCCTTGTCTATAATGGCAGATCTTCACACCCATGACTGTTGTTAGTGCCATCTCTTTCTCATGAATTTGTTCAAGCTCAAGCACAACCATGTCCATTCTTGGCCTTCCATTTCCAGGGAAACTCATGCATTGTAGCAGCCTGATCAAATTCCGGATTCCCTCCATGGTAAAGCTTCCAACAAGCTAGCCATCAACAAAAGTGTTTGAACATGGCTGTGATCAAACCTTCAAAAAGTAAGAAAAGCAATATAATTCAAGTTCTCTTTTGTGTTTCTCAAAAGGAAGAGCAAGCAAGACTTGGAAAATGTTGATCAGTTCGAAGAAAACATCAGAAATGAATAACATTCTCCTACCCACTGAATCAAGATTTCATTGGATCTGATGGAGTCTCTATTTGCAGCTTGCTGTCCAGTTACTAGCTCCAAAACGAGCACCCCAAACCTATAAATGTTAGTCATGTCAGTAAAGTTCCCTGATTCTCCTACCCTGACATTCACCCAAAGTCTCAGCTGAATGTAAGTAAAGGATTAAAACTTTTCATAGTAGAAACCAAATCAAATCAGAAGAAATATTTTTGCTCTGGATCTTGGAAAACATCAACAGTAGATGTGCAAGATAGATCTGCTTCTTCTATCTTTTCAGGTATCCTTAACACCCTAGCATCTGCAACCTTAGCAATGAAGTTCTCATCAACCAGAACATTGGATGTTTTGAAATTTCTATGTACCGTAGGAGGCTTTAGGCTGTGCAGATGGCGTAGACATGCACCAAGTAGACAGAATTTCCTTAACCAAAATGAAAATTAGCATTTCCCTCAGTGGATTCTTCTAGATTTACCTTGGCTGCCTCCAGAGCTATGGATAGCCTCTGCTTGAAACTCTAATCCAGTATCTGAAAACCAATTAATGGATATATAAAATGTTGCATTTACAGTCATGCAGAAAAAACCAATTTTGTTAAAGGACTCATACTATATAAGTGATTGCACATGCTGCAATTTGGTACTTACTAATATACTAAAATTTGTGATCCACTTTCTTGACAATAGCCTAGAAGAGAAACTAAGTTCGGATGTCGAATCTTTGACAGATAGGCTACCTGTTTGTCATATAAACATGTTTCTTTCTGTTTCCAAATTTGTAAAGCTAGAGAAAAGTACTAAATTGTTAGGCATCTTGATCAAATTGATCACACCATTTTACAGAATGAGCTGACCCCATATCAAAAGTAGAAGAAATGATGAGAAGGAAAAGAGTTCCTGATTAGACATAACGTAGATACAAACAATAGTATATCAAAGCAAACCTTTATATACTTTCCCAAAGCTTCTGTAAGGAAAAGGCACATTTTCCAGGACCCTGGCAGAAAGCGGGTGTTCATGTTTGTGAATTTTTGGATTTTCTCAACTTCATTGTTCTTGTTCTTCGTATCAAAGAATCAAATTGCTGTTTTCTTCACTAGGTTTTTCTTTTTCTTCATTCGATCTCTCCTCTTTTCTTGCTCAAAAGATAATTCAATATATGAGAAATTGCGAAGGGTTGGATTGACAGAGAAAGATATTCCTTGGGGGACCACTTGACTATGCTTCGGCAGTCTGGTTTAAGTTACCTGTTATTATTACCATAATAATAAATTTTGTTATCCAATGCTGTAAAAAACATATGTTGTATTGGGCCTTTCTGAGCAAAGGATGAAGGGATCGACAGTACGCCTCCAGCCCAATCTTGCCAAACTTTTCATTTAAATGTTTAATTAAAGAGGAATGGTAGGACATTCTCTCTAACAGTTTCTTTTTGTAATGTATAATATAAATTTAATATAATTAATAATTAATAATTAATAATTGATATTAAAGTTATTATTTTTGAATTTTAAAATTATGACGAATTACTTTCAATTTATTTTATACGCCTCTCAATCAAGTAAAAAATGTTTAAAGGAGAATATTAGAGAAAGTGTTCTTAATATTTTTTTAATTTAAATAAAAAGAAAACTATTTTGCAATTCATCTTATGTAAATAACACATTTTATAATTATTAATGGAGGAAACCACAAGTTCTGCCTACATCAATTGTTATAAGGTGTGTAAAAATATCAAAGAAAAAACTAAATTAAATTAGGGGAAAAAAACCTTGAGGAATTATGTTATGTTTATCAAATCCT